TCATACATCCTATCATGCAGCCTATCATACTGCCTGTCCATAACGCCTATCATACTGTGCTACATAACTGCCAATCATACTGCCTATCATACTGCCTATCATACAGCGCAATCATACTGCCTATCAAACTTGTCCAATCAAACTGCCTTTCATACTGCCTATCATGCTGCCCTATCATACTGCCTATCATTATCTGCCTATCATACTTGCCTATCATGCAGCCATATCATACCGCCTATCATACTGCCTATCAGAACTGGCCTATCAAGCTGCCTATCAAAACTGCCTATCATACTGCCCTATCATACTGCTAATCATACTGAGCCTATCATCCTGCCTAACATACTGCCTATCAAACTGCCTATCATGCCTGCTATCAATACTGCCTATCATACTGCCTATGCATGCTGCTATCATACACAGCCTAATCGATGCAGCCTATCATACTGCCTATCATACTGGCCCTACATAACTGCCTATCATGCTGCTAACATACTGCCTATCATAACTGCCTATCAACTGCCTATCAACTGCCTATCATACTGCCTATCATACTGGCCCTATCATGCTGCCATATCAGACTGCCTAAACATACTGTGCCTATCATGCGCCAATCATACTGCCTGTCAAACTGCCTATCATACTGTGCCTATCATACTGCCTATCCTACTGCCCTATCAATGCTGGCCTACATACAGCGCCTATCATACTGCCTATCATACTGCCTATCATACTGCCTATCATGCTGCCTATCATACTGCCTATCATACTGCCTATCATACTGCCTATCATGCTGCCTATCATACTGCCTATCATACTGCCTATCATACTGCCTATCATGCTGCCTATCATACTGCCTATCATACTGCCGATTAACACTGCCGATATCATAGCTGCCTATCATACTTGCCTATGCATACTGCCTATCATTCTGCCTATCATAACTGCACTATCATAGCTGCCGTATCAAGGCCTGCCTATCATACTGCTATCATAACTGCCTATCATACTGCCTATCAATCTTTCCTATCATACTGCCAATCGAATCTGCCTATCATGCTGCCCAATCATACTGCCTATCATACTGCCTATTCATACTCCAATCATGCTGCCAATCATAATGCCTACATACTGCCTATCATACTGCCTATCATACTGCCTATCATACTGCCTGTCATACTGCCTATCATGCTGCCTATCATACTGCCTGTCATACTGCCTATCATACTGCCTATCATGCTGCACTATCATACTAGCCTGTCAAACTGCCTATCATACACCCTATCAACTGTCCTATCATACTGGCGCTGTCATACTGCCTATCAAGCTGCTATCCTCACACAGCCTAACAACAAAGCTGACCTATTCAAACTGTCCTTATCAAAACTGCCTGTCATACTGCCTATCATGCTGCCTATCATACTGCCTATCATGCTGCCTATCATACTGCCTATCATACTGCCTATCATACTGCCTATCATACTGCCTATCATACTGCCTATCATGCTGCCTATCATACTGCCTATCATAACTGACCTATCATAACAGCCCTATCATACCTGCTATCATACTCTGCCATGTCATACTGCCTATCATACTGCCTATCATGCTTCTATCATACTGCTATCATACTGCCTATCATACTGGCCTATCATAACTGCCTATCAATCTGCCTATCATACTGCCTATCAAATAGCTGCTGTCAAACACCTGCCTATCATCACAGCTATCATAACTGCCTGTCATACTGCCTATCATACTTGCCTATCATACTGCCCTATTCAAACTGCCAATCATACTGCCTATCATGCTGCCTAATTCAAACTGCCTGTAAAACTACGCTATCATACTGCCTATCTTACTGCCCATATCATACTGCCTATCATACTGCCTATCATACTGCCTATCATGCTGCCTATCATACTGCCTGTCATACTGCCTATCATACTGCCTATCATACTGCCTATCATACTGCCTATCATACTGCCTATCATACTGCCTATCATGCTGCCTATCATACTGCCTATCATACTGCCTAACAATACTGGCCCATCATACTTCCTATCAGACTGCCCATCATAATGCCCATACATAACTGGCCGTATCATGACTGCCCAGTCATACTGGCCGTATCATACTGCCCAACCATACTGCCTATCAATACTGCCTATCATACTGCTACATCAAACTGCCTATCATAAGCAGTGTGCCCATCATAAGGCATCATCATACAGCCTATCATACTGCCTATTGACTACTGATCGCAACTAGGTCACTCTCCCTGCTCATGAGCTCTATCGTACCTCTTCTTAAAGCTATGTATGTATCGCGCCTCCACTACATTACTTCCCAGACTATTCTTCGACTATTCCAACGTGTATCTCACCTATTTTCGACATGTTGGCAGCGTTCGATACAATATCTCCTGGCCGCCGCGTGTGTGCATATTACGTGAGTGTGCACTGTATGTATTCACCTGTTAGGGTTCCAGTGGTTAACTCACAGCTCTTGGTCTTGCCACCTATTCGTGGTTGCAGGGGTCGTCTTAGCTCCTGGTCCCGTGGGTGTGTAGATGTACGTGTGTGTGCAACTTGGGTTATCCTAGGTAATGTACACATATGCTACTATGTATGATAATTTTAGGAGGATGTGTACTCTGTACTGAAGTAAATTTAGATGTCCCGTAGCTGGGTTGGTAGCGCACTCGGCTCACACACTGAGGTCCGTGGTTCGATCCCGGGTACGAGTGGAAGCATTAGGACGTGTTTCCTTAAGACACCTGTTGTCCCTGGTCCCCTAGTAGTAAGTAGGTACCTGGGTGTTTGTCGACGGGTGTGGGTCGCATCCTGGGGGACAAGATTGAGGACCACAATGGAAATAAGTTAGACAGTCCTCGATGACGCACTGACTTTCTTGGGTTATCCTGGGTGGCTAACCCTTCGGGGTTAAAAATCCGAACGAAATCTTATCTTAAAAAGATTTTATTATCAGTATAATTATGGAGAAGCTCTAAACCAGTAGGATTATACAGCGCCTGTGGAAGGGGGATGGAAAGTATTCAAGTTTAATTCAGGGAACTAGAGCACAGATCCAATTTCCTGGATCAAGAGCCCCTCACCAGCGTCAAGGAACCTCCCTTGAGAGGATCTTAAAAAGAGAGTTACCCTTTCAAATGTAAAGAAAACGAACAATTGTTTTTAGAGAAAGTGGTTTAGGGAGAACTTTTGTAAAGTAAGATAACTAAGTAAATAAAGTAAGGAAGCAAGTTAGTAAATAAGTAAACTACCAAATAAGTTTATTTAGGTACAGATATACGTAGATACAATTATCATACATAGTAACACATGTATACATTACTCAGGATAACCAATAAAGTTAACCAGCGACTTATTTCTACTGGGAAATAAGTAGGTTCTTATTTAATGTTCAGATGCGTATTTTATTCGGCTTTGAGCAAGTCTTTTTGGTTTATTAATGACCTGATGTTGTCTATTTAAGGGAATGCTAAACCCGTAAGGGTCAAACAATGCACTCCCCAGAGAGGTAATGAGATTCGACCTGAGGAAAGGGAGGGTAACTCTCCAATTTCTTGGATCAAGAGACCTGCACTGATACAGCTTGTAGACCATATCTGACATCAATGACATACTATATAGAAAGTCCCTGGTTATGCAGAGTATTTCCCGCAACTTTTACCTCACAGTAAATGAGGTACAGTACTACAGTGGTGTATGACCCACAAGGGTCATACATCACTGTCCTCATACCAAAACTATTTCTTATTGTCCTGAAGCTAATCTGACGTCATTATTCACTATGTCTTAAAATGGAAAAGTCACACTACAGTGTTTGTGTGGGTGTATTAGAACAGTATAGTTGGAGGGTGTTCCAGGGGTCAATGCCTCCACAGGCTTCACAATGGATCAGGGCCTGATCAACCAGGTTGTTACTGCTGGCTGCACATAAACCAATGTACAAACCACAAGATAAGGTGATTTTTGTGACCTGACATGCAATTGAGTGTGAGTGAGGTAACATTTATGAAGGGAAACCGGTTAGCTGGACTTAGAGTCCTGGAGGTGAGATGTACAGTCCCTGCACTCTGAAGGATGGGTGGGGAATGATGCACATCAGAGGGCCATCTGAAAAGTGATATCAACATAGCCCTGACAAAGACAGTACAGCCTCTAATCGCTTAACAACAGAGTTATGTTCCTACGACCTTGTTGGCAAACAAATTCATCGCTAGGTGAGGAGCATACTATAATGGTAAGGGGTTTGTGTCAACCATCTTTGGTATTGTTTTAATGTCACGTTTGCACCATTTATAACATTTCTGGTATAATTTTAAATGTTTATACAGTAGTGTACTGTATATTGTAATAAACAGCATTGAGGAAATCAGCTCTAATATACATTATTTAGGTATGCATACTGGTCAGAGAGCCGGTTGTAAGTTCGATATGTTGGTAAATGAGTACGTCACTAAGTGAGGAGAGGCTGCATTTTCTTTCTGGGTCATCCTACCTCAGTGGGAGACAGCTGCTGAGTTTAAAACATTACATAAGTTTTAAAACACTACATAAGTTTATTATTACAAGTATTAATGTTTCTCCACATATTTAAAGTCAAGAATGAGCCATAATCATGATCAGCTGCAACATCTTATCCAGTGACTGAGGTTACTAAACTGACAGAATGCAATATTATTATGATAGGTAAGTGACTGGTCAATACCTGACCAGCTGGACTGTGGTTTGTACATTGGTTTGCATGTGGCTAGCAGTAACAGCCTGGTTAATGAGATCCTGATCTACCATGAGGCCTGGTCATGGACCGATTCACAGGGGCGTTGACCCCCAGAACACCCTCCAGGTATACTACAGGGTCATACATTGCTACACAGTGCAATAATGTCAGAAAAACCTCTGCAACAATTCTATAGGTCTATTTTCTTTGTTTACAAGTCATAATGGACAGTATATTAAAGAAAGACTTCCTTTAAAATTTCTGTTTTATTAAATAAAATAAAAAAAATTGCATTATAAACAAGTTTATTAATATTTTTCAATAATTTACAGTACATGTACAATACCTGCAGTAAAATGAACAACAGCAACAGCAAGAGCAGTACAGTTTGCAACAGCAATGTGAACAGGAATTGCAACATGGGTTAGCTAAAAAACTAAGTTACCAGTGTGAGAGAAATTTAATTAGCTGAAGAAGGTGACTAAAGCACAAGAGCCAAAAAGAGAGAAGAATAGTGTCAGATGGAAGAAATACCCAGAATGTATGACAGCATGCAACAAGACCGACTGAAGAAGACAGGTTCAGTAGGAGTTTGACAAAGTTCTTGGAGAGTGAAATGCTGCAACAATAAAAGTCACATTACAGTCAGGCCCCACTTATACAACAGGTTAAGTTCTGGGCTACTGTAGGCCCCCACTTATACAACAGGTTAAGTTCTGGGATACTGTAGGGCCCCACTTATACAACAGGTTAAGTTCTGGGATACTGTAGGCCCCCACTTATACAACAGGTTAAGTTCTGGGATACTGTAGGGCCCCACTTATACAACAGGTTAAGTTCTGGGATACTGTAGGCCCCCACTTATACAACAGGTTAAGTTCTGGGATACTGTAGGCCCCCACTTATACAACAGGTTAAGTTCTGGGCTACTGTAGGGCCCCACCTATATAGCAAGTTAGGTTCTGGTCTACTGTAGGGCCCCATTGTCTATTTACCTAACCTCATGGTTTTAGTGCTTCCACATGGTTAAAATAATAACCACAATACACACATCCCAAGATTTACATGGTAGGACAACCAGTTTCTACCATGCTGATAACAGAAGAAACACTTTCATCATCACTCACTCCATCACTGTTTTGCCAGAGGCAATATTATCTATAAATAAAGGACTGTTCAGTAAATAGTTTCTTTCTGTCATATTTATTGATAATCTTGCCATTCAAAAACAGCTACTTTCCTGCTGACATACTCTATGCTGTGGAGTTTCCAGTTATTATGGAGGAGTCTACTTTCATGGTAGGACATATCAGTGCTATACACTTCATTCTTGTCTCTTACAGAAGTCTACTCTCATGGTGGTACACATTAATGTTACACATTTCACATTGATCTTTCACGAGACCACTCTCTTGGCCGGAGCCATTACAATACTAGATATTCCATACTAAGACCTTTGAGGAGGCCACTCTCATAGCAGGACATATCAACAGAGGTGGATTGGCCATACAAGCATTTGGGCAATGCTCAGTGGGCCGCTGGGCTGGGTAAAAAGCTGAAAAAATGTCACGAAAAACTGAAGTCATAGCCGCTGCACAAAGATTGAAATGAAAATGGAATGCATCTTAGCTGAGCAGTGAAAACATGCCTCTGGCCCTCAGCAGTCAGCAGTCTGTTAGTCAGTGTCACACTGGCAGTGGTGAAGCTGACCTGATAGGTGACAGATGCCCAGGCCAGTTAGTCAGTGTCACACTGGCAGCGATGAAGCTGACCTGATAGGTGACAGATGCCCAGGCCGGTTTTAAAACGTCAGTCACTTCTGCATATTAGTGCTAGACATGCCATGCCTAGATTGAAAGGAACAACCAAAAATGTTTATGGCATCAAGATTCACAAATATTCAAACTTGTTCTGGCCAGCTCTGAGCCCACCTATGCCTACTAAAGGAATGCAGCTTCTTGAAATGATTGAATCTGACCACACTCAAAGAATCAGGAACAGTGTGGATAAATTAAATTGGGAAAAGAAAACAGCTAGTACTGGGAGAGAAAATAACTGTATCTGGTGTGAAAAATACTTAGTCATGTGAATCCCTTGAACAAGTGGTTAAGGATTTAAATGAAGCAACAGAAAATATGGACATAGCTAAAATGTGTAAAAATGTAATGATATTAGAAGACAATGAGAAAGAGCCCAACCAATGAAAAGTTCCTGAAAACTGGCAATTGTAGCCAGAGAAGTTAGAACTCTGGGCATGTGAGGAAGACTACCCATTATGGAATTATCCACTGGTGACCCCAACTCCTGTTGCTTCAACTCACCTGTTGACAGTATGTGAGCCACTTCTCCGAGCATATGCTATAATTTTCTCAAGCCTGATGGACGGAATATATCGACTCCAGGCTGAGGGACTGATTACCTCACACTCCTTCTTCTTCCACCATTCATCTCTGTACCGGACTGAGGAATCTACTTGTTGGCAAAACATTTCCACAATAAAAAATCCCAAGTACTGCAAAAGTGTCTAATTCTTCAACTTGTCAGTTTTCTAAACCCTTGACATCACTTCCCATTACGTATATACAAACAAATTAGTTCACAACAGGAATAGTATAAAGATCAAAACAGCCACAGGAAACATCAATGTCAGACCCTCAGGGGTGAAAATAATTAATACATATACTGATAGGCCCATGAATCAGATGACAGCAGGGTGATATAGAATCATCTAAATCAGTAGTCCTTAACTTTCCTACACAAGTGGGCCACATTTGACGGCCAAATGCATGATGAGGGGCACATGGTTTTGTTGACACTATGTACTGTGGAACCTACATAAAAGTGAATTCATAATTTCATGTGAGGGCCGCAACCATTTTGTAGAGGAGCTACGTGCAGCCCACGGGCCACACATTAGGGACCCCCCAATCTAAATAAAGAGGCATCACAAAAAACAGGGGTGAGATACTGAAAGAGATATCTTAGGAAATATCCGTAGAAACTGCAATAAAATTGAAGAACAGTATAGCAACTCAAGAAAGGAGAGACAGTATAAAATATATGACAAATTATTATTATTATAATCAAGGGGGAAGTGCTAAACCCGTAGGATTATACAGTGCCTGTGGGGGGGGGGGATGGAAGGTATTCAGGGTTAATTCAGGGAACTGGAACTAAGATCCAGTTCCCTAGATCAAGAGCCCCTCACCAGCATCAAGGAACCTTCCTTGAGGGGTCATGGTGAGAAACACTCTCCTGCTTTATATCTGAGAGTGTAATAGAGTAAAAATATAAAATCAATACTACCAACATTTATAAACAATCTAAGCATATTGTAATTATGGTAAGAGTCACATTAACAAAAATATGTAGGATTTGTTGCAAGAGGATAAGGATAATATATAAAGGTAATAATACCTGATTGGTACAACAGCCAGGGATGAAGTTGATATTCCCAATGGAATATCAACTATTTGGGCGGATATATACTGTACAGTTCTTCATTCTCATGATGAGTGGTACTGCTTAATAAATTCATTCTTAGGGGCAAAATCTAGATCCCTTTCCTCACCATGCACAGTTAAATACATAATTACAGCCTCTCCTCACTTAACCTGTAAACGGTCCAAACGTATATAAACATTCACTACCGTACTGCCCCAACTTTTTTGAGAAAAAAAAAACATTGCTGTTTTTTAATAGGAAAAAAGAGCATATGGTACCCAGGAATCCCCAATTATTTTAATATGGTGCACAGTGAGTGCTCACACCCATTCTCTCATGTCTAGGTGACTCAGGCTTATCGTGGCAATGTAAAATGTATGACACATAAAATGTATATATGTATACGTTTGGGGCACTAGCGGTAAAAACGTATATATACGTTTGGACCGTTTACGGGTTAACAACGGCGTTCTGTTCCTAAGACTATGTCGGTAAATAAATTCGTCGCTACGTGAGGAGCATACTATAATGATAGTGAGTTTGTGTCAACTATTTTTGATACTGTTTTAATGTCCTCTTTGCACCATTTATAACATTTCTGGTATAGTATTTTTTAATGTTTATACAGTAGTGTACTGTATATTGTAATAAACAGAATAAAGGAATTCAGCTTTAATATACATTTAGGTATGCATACTGGTTAGAGAGCCCGTCATAAGTCTGAGGCGTCGGTAAACAAGAATGTTGCTAAGTGAGGAGAGGCTGTATATTATTCTTATATTCCATCTGTTGGCAAAGATCACTGGCAGATGGAACGTAATAAGAAATGGCTCAATTTGAAGCCAATGAAAACGTGGAACACCGAAAAGAAGCTGCTGCATGTGTGGTACATGCCTGTATGTACAGTAGTCCACTTGTATCTGCAGGTGATACATTACAAAACCTACCATGAATGCCTAAAACCACAGATAGAAGTGAACCCTATACAGTATATAAGTTGTTTTTCGTTTACATACATTCCTATGAAAAGGTTTAATTGATAAATTATGCACAATAAGACATTACCAACATTAAATAATAATAAAATACACTGTATATTATTATAGTACTTGTTCTCTCTCTCTCTTGCTCTCTCTCGAATGAATGGGATTCTGACGTTTTAGCTTAACCCTCAAGGGACGATGGAGCAATGAAAAACATCTTGTACACATACGTATTTTAAATACATTTGAAACTTATGAACCGTTTATTCCTGGAATTTTCCATTTAATATTTCTGGGCCATAGTAAACTGCAGATAACTGAATCCATTGATATAGGGGTTCTACTGTATATTATAATATACACTATACATGTACTACTGAACTAATCACATGATCCTATACAGAGTGTAGCATTTGTACCACCGAATCCGAAAGAGTTCGTGAGAGCAATCCTTCTCTTGGGCGACTGCAACCATGCTTTTGCTTCTAGTGGCACAAAGTCTAAATCCAAACCCGGTCCTGGATTATCCAGGTTAGCTGTGGGAGGTATGTAGCCAGCATGGCAGGCCAAGACAGTCAGGATAGCCTCCACAGCACCTGCTGCTCCAAGCAAGTGTCCAATTGCACCTTTAATCGATGAAACATAGAGGTTTTGAGCATGATCTTTAAATAGTGATTTTATTGCCTGAACTTCAATTGCATCCCCTAAAGGTGTGGATGTTGCATGGGCATTTACGTATCGAATGTCGTCTGGGTTTACCTGTGCTTCTTCAATGGCTCGTGCCATGGCTCTTTCTGCCCCTTTTCCATCCTCCCTCGGTGCTGTGAAGTGGTGAGCATCCCCTGTTAACCCATAGCCTAAGATTTCTCCATAAATATTTATTCCACGTTTTATGGCATGCTCGTACTCCTCCAACACCAGTACCCCAGCACCTTCACCCATTATAAAGCCTTCTCTCTGGGAGTCAAAAGGTCGAGAAGCTCTCTCTGGACAGTCATTAAATTTAGTGGCAAGAGCTCTTAATCGACAAAATCCAGCAATAGCTAATGGATTTATATTTGCCTCTAGGCCTCCACATATCATTACATCTGCATCACCATTCTTAATAAATCGGAAGGCATCCCCGATGGCATGAGCTCCTGTGGCACAGGCTGTCGAAACACTATGGTTAGGACCCTGAAAGGAATATTTCATGCTGATGTGCCCAGCTGCCATATTGATCAAGATTCGAGGGACAAAATATGGGCTAACTTTGCTGTACTTGTGTTGGAAATCCTTATGGGTAGCTACGACATCATCCAGGTCTACCATTCCCATGCCTATGGCTACACCAGTCCGCTCCTGTTCCTTTGGGTCATCTGGCTTCCAGTCTGCATCTTCTATGGCCTCTTGGGCAGCCACCAAACCATAAGCGATTGCAGAGTTCATGGTACGCAAATCGCTCGAGTTGAAGTGAGATGAGACGTCCAGTTCTCCTTCTCCTTTCCCTCGGGGAACAATGGCTGCTACACGGCACGGTATCTGAAATATTGTTGAAATAAATGCTTTAGAAAACTGAGAAGTTGATAAATGAGACACTGTGCAATATTTGGGTATCTTTATTCTGGAAACATTTCACCAGGCAGTGGCTTCTTCAGTCTAATGTAGAGAAATATGGAAGATGAGGAGAAGTTTGAGGTAATCAGTCCCTTAGCCTGGAGGTGATGCCAAAAAGCAGAAAAAAAAGGGTTGTTGAGGGAGTTTAGTCATGTAAAAATAATAGAAAATGAGTTAGTAAAGCAGGTGTGCAAATATGAATGAACAGAAATACTGTAGCATTAAAGGAAGAGCATATGATGTCAAATATTTCTAATGGTCATAACCATAATTTTTGAAGGGGTGGAGGGTAAGCCAGTGAAGTTTTTGATTACCATTAAAAAAGAACATTTAAATGTGCATTAAATTTCAATTTAAAGCAAATGAGTGTGTAACTGAAGTAATTTGTGCAATACTGACATAAGTTACCAACATATATTTATTGTATATAAACTACAATTACTGAACATGGTATATATTGTGGTAGTATAGTAAAATTAAATTAAATTTTTGGAAGATTTCAATATTGTAGATACAAATTATGGCATATGTATATAAAATGTTATAGAATTACTTTGCATTAATACAATATTAGCAACCTATTGATGAAGTCATCCCATTACTGTGCTACAAATAAAGATGTGTAAGGATGCTGAAGTCACCCCTAGCACAACACAGCAGAGCATAGCACAGCATACCACATCATGGCACAGTACATCACATCACAGCACAGCATAGCACTGCACATCACATCACAGCATACATCACAGCAGAGCAGTTATTAATAAACCAGAAATAATCCAGTACAATAGTAATGTAAATGCAGTGGCAAGAGTTGCTTCAATCTAAATCTAGCAGTAAACTTCACTTTGGTTCTGACCTGTGAGAAGTGTGGGTCAGTGAGTGCTGATGTAGCCACCTTGCCAGTTGTGAGCTGCAGCCAGTTGTGAGGTGTCCCGACCCCAAGGGGAGTCACCAGCCCGAGTCCGGTCACCACCACACGACGAGCACAACTCATCCTGCTGTTGAGGTCATTTATTTTTAATGGATTTTCAGATTAGTCCAGTTTTTAACCAAAGTACCTGATGTTTTCCAAAGTACAGAATACTGTACCTGAGCACTCAGGTACAACCATCATCTAATGAGAATTCTGCATCGACATCAATTTAATAACAACCTCAGCCATCCATCTCAACCATAATCCTCAATCACCCACTACAACCTGGTAAAGCCACATAACCTCTTTCCATGCAAAGTCTCCCTACCCAAACTTGTTCAACCCCAATTATCTGACTTGCCCATCATGGTAAGTCAAGCATTATCAGCGACAATTTAATTAGAAACAAATTTTTGTGTGATGATGGATTCAAATTAAAGGGCAACTAGATTATAGGAGAGGCTTGAGGGCATGATTATTGGGAGAGAGGTTGATTTAATGACTAAACTGCCTACAAGTTTTGGTTTTGGCCTGTTTTGAAACTGAAATGTTCTGAATTTAATGACAAACAGGTAAAATAAGCACTCTGGGCATCCTAAAAGAATAATTTAAGGGTTTTATTGATACCACTGATTATTATTGAAGATATATTCTGGAATTAGGTGTGATTTTGGTAGGTTTTATCTACAGAAGTGGCCCAAAATAGGTGCCAAGTTGCTCAGAATTGACTTTCTTCAAAATATTTTTCCTGAGTGATTAAGCCCTTCCTTTCCCTGAATTTTAGCAGTTTTTAACTAGGTCAGCTTCAACTACTGGGCCAGCCTAGAATGGTTGGTCCAGGTTTATTTGGTATGATTTAGGAAAATTTTTTGCTGCATGACATTGGATTCAAAATGAAAGACTGGGTTGTTGGAGAGACCTGGGAACATGATTAATGGAGAGAGAGAGAGAGAGAGAGAGAGAGAGAGAGAGAGATAGAGAGAGAGAGAGAGAGAGAGAGAGAGAGAGAGAGAGAGAGAGAGAGAGAGAAGAGAGAGAGGAGAGAGAGAGAGAGAAGAGAGAGAGAGAGAGAGAGAGAGAGGAGAGAGAGGAGAGAGAGAGAGAGAGAGAGAGAGAGAGAGAGAGAGAGAGAGGGAGGTTGCTTTAGTGACTAAAATGCCTCTCTTGAATTAGGAATGGGTTGAATTTAGTAAGAAATAGGCTAAATGACTATTTCTTGGTACTACTGATTAGTACAGATGACATATTAGTGAATTAGCTGAGATTTGGGTCTGTCTGAATAATGGAAATTCCTCAAAATTGACATCAAAATGACAGTTTAATAAGAAATGTTGATTTTAATGTGAATTTAAAAACAAATTTATGTAACTTTTCTAGCTACAAGCATTGTATTTTAATAATGTTCACCTCACTACATCCAACTAAATTTTTTTTTTGAATTATGGCATCTAAAACAAAATTTGGTGGGAATACAGTGGACCCCCGCATAACGATGGCATCACATAGCGATTATTTCGCATACCGCTTACTTTAATTGCAAAAATTTTGCCTCACGTACCGCTTAAAAACCCGCTTACCGATTTTCGTCCGAGACGCGTCCAATGTGCGGCCTGAGCCACGCTCACATGTTCCGCCGGTGGCATTGTTTACCAGCCAGCCTCCGCGGTAACATCCAAGCATACAATCGGAATATTTGTATTATTACAGTGTTTTCGGTGCTTTTTCTGGAAAATAAGTGACCATGGGCCCCAAGAAAGCTTCTAGTGCCAACCCTACAGCAATACCTGGAGAGGAGATTTAAAGGTGAGAATTACAATAGAGATGAAGAAAAAGATCATTGATAAGTATGAAAAGTGGAGTGCATGTCTCCGAGCTGGCCAGGTTGTATAATAAACCCCAATCAACCATCGCTTACTATTGGTGGTACAGCTGCTGCTGCTGCTGCACTGTCAGCTGCTGCTGCTGCTGCTGCTGCACTGTCAGCTGCTGCTGCTGTGCTGTAGCACCGTTGTTGGTGTGGCTTATTGAGAATACAAGAAACAATTAACCCAGAGGATTTGCCACCCAGGATAACCCAAAAAAGTCAGTGTCATCGAAGACTGTCTAACTTATTTCCATTGGGTCCTTAATCTTGTCTCCCAGGATGCAACCCACACAAGTCGACTAACACCCAGGTGAACAGGGAAAAATGCCTGGAACTAGTGCTCTATTGGTGAATTTAAAGCCAGCAAAGGTTGGTTTGAGAGATTTAAGAATCGTAGTGGCATACACAGTGTGATAAGGCCTGTTCTGGAAGAAATGCCAAACAGGACCTACAGTACTCAGGAGGAAAAGGCACTCCCAGGACACAGTGTCTCATCAGTCATTGCTGCATCTTCAATAAAGGTAAGTGTCATTTATTCATTTAGTAGACTAGTACATGCACAATATATACTGTGCATGTACTACTCTACTATTGTGCATGTATCCTTCTCTTTGTGTGTGGGAAAATGTATATTTCATGTGGTAAAAATTTTTTTTTCATACTTTTGGGTGTCTTGCACGGATTAATTTTATTTCCATTATTTCTTATGGGGAAAATTCATTCACATAACGATTATTTCGCATAACAATTACCCCTCTTGCACGGATTAAAATCGTTAACCGGGGGTCCACTGTATTAGGAATCTTAGGAACATAACCCTATTGTTCTCATATGGTCTTCAGTTCATTGTACACTATTTTTTTATTTATACATCATTTTCAGGAACATAACTGCCGTGTTAAACAAGGATCACGTGAATAGCTATTGAGATGGTTGATTGTTTTACAAACACCAAAATGATATAATATACATATATTATTACTCCAGTTCCTTAGTTTGAGAGTCCCCTCACTGACATCAAGGAGATATTAACTGCCATTGCTTTAGCAAGTTTTTATTCAGATACAGGTACGCATAAATAGTTACATAAATTATCATACATAGTAATACGTGTAGATTACCTAGGACCCCAATGGAAATAAGTCACTTTGTCTGACATTTTGGGGTTATCCATGGTTCTCTACACACATGCTGCCATGTATGTTCATCTATGTAACCGTATTTGCGTATACATGGATAAACTTACTTAGGATAACCCAAAAAAGTCAAAGTGACTTATTTCCATTGGAGTCCTTTAACAGTATTTGCAACTGGTTGCATTTTTATCACATTCAGGGAAGAGCGCTAAACCCCTAGGGGTCATACAGAGCCTGGGTTAATGGAAGGTATTCATGTTCGATTCAAGGAATTGGGGCACAGGTCTAATTCCTCTGATTAAAAGTACCTCACAGACATCAAGGAACCTCCTTTAAAGGGAACAACTAGTATCAATCTTAACAACCATGACGTTAACGATCATGGCTCAGGCAACCATTTCCATTACAATCATGGTCTAAATAACCGTTTCCTAAGTATCATGGCTTGAGTAACCATTTCCCTAATAATCATGGTCTAGGCAACTATTTCCTTAACATAATGATGTTATTTACTGTTTGAACAACCATCATTTTAACAATCACTGTCTTAATGACCATGAAAATAACGAACTGGTTGTTGTTGTTGTTGTTACAGCTGATAGATTCCAACCGGTTGTTATTGTTGTTTTTGGGTGATTAAGGTACCTACAGCTCACAGAGTATTAAACCCTGTTTCCTGGTATCCAGGGAGGAATTATTAAGCAACTTTAAGCTAAATAAAAGGAAGACTAAGCCTTGCCAACTGGTAAAATAGATCTTCCTGTCTAAAACAAGGAGGGGATAAACACTCACACCTCAGGTGAGTGAATGACCGGCTGGTTGGTAGAGCCGTAGAATATTATTGTTTACCTGGTTTGGTCGCTTACACTCCCAGATAAAGTTTTTGTTTTGGGCGAAGGGGGTGACGAAATTGATAAAGGGCTCTTGGTACAGGAAATGGGATGTAACTCTTCTCTTCCTCTTATTAAACTTACTTGCTTCCCTCGTATTAAAGCTTAGGTGTCTTCCTCTTATTAAACTTAATTGCCCTCCAGGCGGTGTAAAAATCCTACCATGCAAAATACATTTTAGAATGAACAAATAAGTAAATATTTACTATGTTGTAGGAGACTTCTAGCGCGGCAGTTCCAATAATGATCAAAACTCCTTAATAAATTTTATTGATGGGGAGCGTTAAACCCGTATGTCATACAGCGCCTAGGGTAATAGGAGGCAATCAGATTCGACCGGACGAAGAGGATGATATCTTCAATCCCTTGAATCAATAGACCTCCGCTGGCACCCCTCTTGAAGAGAATATTAAACAATTATAACACGTTATATGTCTCCCTCGATACTTCCCAAGTTCGAACCCAGTATAATAATTAGGAATATACATTAACAGGAATTTTTAGATCTCTGAGCCATCAGTAAATAATATTTTAAAGTGTTATTGAGGAAGGCTGAAATTGATATAATATTATTTAAGCTGCTTACTCACCTTTACATTTTTATACTCTTGTCATATATACGTAATAATTTATGTGTAAATTAACCTTGGATAGATACATCAAGTCAATATGACTTGATGGGGATTTTTTGTGAGGAAAGAAGGGAATGTTGTGGACGTTTAGGGAATTTGTTGTGGGGGAAGAAGGGAATATTGTGGACGTTTAGGGAATTTGTTGTAGGGGAGAAGGGAATATTGTGGACGTTCAGGGAATTTATTGTGAGGGAATGTGAGTATTTAGGGAATTAGTTGTAGGGGAAGAAGGGAATGTTGTGGGAGTTTAGGGAATTTGTTGTGGGTGAACAAGGGAATATTGTGAGCGTTCGGGGAATTTGTGTTGGGGATTTGGCAGGGAAAAGGGGATGTGGTACTGATATATAGGATTGAGGGGAGATTTAGCTATGGAAGAGCGATGGGGTATTTCTGAAAAGTTTGCACGGGTGATAGGGAAATTCTTGAGGAATTGGCAGGGTTAAGAAGGATTTCTGGAGGATTTGACTGGGAAGAAAGATTTCTGGAGGATTTGACTGAGGAATAGAGATTTCTGGAGGATTTGACTGGGGAAGAGAAATTTCTGGAGGATTTGACTGGGGAAGAGAAATTTCTGGAGGATTTCACTGGGGAAGAGAGATTTCTTGAGGATTTAACTGGGGAAGAAAGATTTCTGGAAGATTTGACTGGGGAAGAGAAATTTCTGGAGGATTTGACTGGGGAAGAGAGATTTCTTGAGGATTTAACTGGGGAAGAGAGATTTCTGGAGGGTTTGACTGGGAAAGAGATTTCTGGAGGATTTTACTGGGGAATAGAGATTTCTGGAGGATTTGACTGGGGAAGAGAGATTTCTGTAGGATTTGACTGGGAAATAGAGATTTCTGGAGGATTTGACTGGGGAATAAAGATTTCTGGAGGATTTGACTGGGGAAGAGAGATTTCTGGAGGATTTGACTGGGGAAGAGAGATTTCTGGAGGATTTGACTGAGGAAGAGAGATTTCTGGAGGATTTGACTGGGGAAGAGAGATTTCTGGAGGATTTGACTGGGGAATAGAGATTTCTGGAGGATTTGACTGGGGAAGAGAGATTTCTGGAGGATTTGACTGGGGAAGAGAGATTACTGGAGAATTTAACTGGGGAATAGAGATTTCTGGAGGATTTGACTGGGGAAGAGAGGTTTCTGGAGGATTTAACTGGGGAGAGACATTTCTGGAGGATTTGCCTGAGTGACGAAGGATTTCTGGTGGATTTGGCTGGTGACAGTTTTCTGTCTGTGATTTCCTGGGTGATTAAGGATGTCTGGAGAATTTTGCTTAGTGATAAGGAATTTCTGGAGGATTTTCCTGTGATCGGGGAATTCTGGAATATTGTCCTGAGTGACTGAGGGTTTCTCGAAGATTTTCCCTAGTTGTGATGAATGGTTTGAAAAACCGACAAGTTGAAGATTGAGACACTTATGCAGCATATGGGAATCTTTATTCAGGAAACGTTTCGCCACACAGTGGCTTCATCAGTCCAATACAAAGTAGAAATGGGTAAGGAGAGTAGAAGTATGAGGTAATCAGTCCCTCAACCTGGATTCGATGTGTTCAGTCCATCACTCTTGTAGTGCTACGTAATTTTGACCTTCTTTCCTGATCATGATATTTGACTCTGATATATCATTATGAGCAAAATCTGTTTTATGAAAATCATTTAGTGCTTTTTTTAGCTGCTTTATATGCTTTCAAACAATCTTCTAAGGAATTTTTCAAAATAAACTTTAAGAAAGTTAACCCGGTACAGTACGACATAAACGATGACTAATGGCTCATAAATTTATACCATTTTGATGTTCATCAAAGTTTGGGAGCACCACCAGCGCCGTCTACCTTGAGTAGAGCTCTGGCTTCGTCCATGGCTTCTTCCAGATAAACATCACCGAAGAACTTCTTGACGACAACGGTAGTTGAGGAACCATCGTTTTGTTTTAAGTTTGCTCTCGAAGTCTCCCCATAAGCCCCTCTACCAAGCCTTTCCTTGATATCCAGGCTGCTCCAGGATAATACAGTTATAGCAGTATCAGTGGGTGAGCATGATATTGTCTCAGTGTGTGAGGGGCCGTAATTCTCGGAAGTTGAAGATTGAGACACTTATGCAGCATATGGGAATCTTTATTCAGGAAACGTTTCGCTACACAGTGGCTTCATCAGTCCAATACAAAGAGGAAGGCGTAAGGAGAGGAGGAGAATGAGGTAATCAGTCCCTCAACCTGGAGTCGATGTGTTCAGTCCATCAATCTTGTAGAATGTACAGCACAGGGCCGTAGACGTGGCTTATATACTGTAGTGAGGTGACGTGAAGCAGATGGAGGCGGGGTCATAGTGGTACCATCCACTAGTCGAAGTAGGTCTTCGTCCAAAGGTTGAACAAGTGTTGAAGAATTCTTTGTAGCAAACTTAAAACAAAACGATGGTTCCTCAACTACCGTTGTCGTCAAGAAGTTCTTCGGTGATGTTTATCTGGAAGAAGCCATGGACGAAGCCAGAGCTCTACTCAAGGTAGACGGCGCTGGTGGTGCTCCCAAACTTTATGGAATAATTTATGAGCCATTAGCTATCGTTATGTCGTACTGTACCGGGTTAACTTTCTTAAAGTTTATTTTGAAAAATTCCTTAGAAGATTGTTTGAAAGCATATAAAGCAGCTAAAAAAGCACTAAATGATTTTCATAAAACAGATTTTGCTCATAATGATATATCGGAGTCAAATATCATGATCAGGAAAGAAGGTCAAAATTACGTAGCACTACAAGAGTGATGGACTGAACACATCGAATCCAGGTTGAGGGACTGATTACCTCATACTTCTACTCTCCTTACCCATTTCTACTTTGTATTGGACTGATGAAGCCACTGTGTGGCGAAACGTTTCCTGAATAAAGATTCCCATATGCTGCATAAGTGTCTCAATCTTCATTTTCCCTAGTTGTTGACGAGGGATTTCTCAAAAAAATCCTGAGTGATAGGGATTTGTGGAGGATTTTATTGAGTGATAGGAGATTTAAGGATTTTATTGAGTGATTGGGGATTTCAAGATTTTATTGAGTGATGGAGGATTTCAGGATTTTATTGAGTGATTGGGAATTTCAGGAGTTTATTAAGTGATAGGGGATTTCGGTAATGGGGGAATTCAGAAAGATTTTTTCCTGGATAATGTTAATTTCAGGAGTATTTTCTTGGGTAATGGGGATGATTTCAGGAGGATTTTCCTGGGTAATTGGGTTGATTTCAGGAGGATTTTCTTGGATAATGGGGATGATTTCAGGAGAATTTTCCTGGGTAATGGGGATGATTTCGGGTGGATTTTCCCGGGCAATGGGGATAATTTTTAGGAGGATTTTTCCTTAGTAATGGGAGATTCCAGAAGAATTTTCATGGGTGATGGAGATTTCATGAAGATTTTCGTAGATAATGGGAATTTCAGAAAGATTTTCCTGAGTGATAGGGGATTTCAGGATTTTCTTGAATGATAGTGAATTTTAGGAAGATTTTTCTCAGGTAATGAGGTTTCAGGAGGATTTTCCTCGGTAATGGGGGATTTCAGGATTTCCCTGGACAACAAGGAATTTCAGGAAGATTTCCCTGGACAATGGGGAAATTTCTTGGGAATTTCCCTTGACAATGGGGGAATTTCATGAGAATTTCCATGTGTGATGGGGAATTTTATGAGAATTTCCCTGGACAATGGGGGAATTTCATGATAATTTCCCTGGACAATGGGGGAATTTCATGAGAATTTCCCTGGGTGATGGGGGAATTTTCATAAGAATTTCCCTGTGTGATGGGGGAACTTTATCAGAATTTCCCTGGGTGATGGGGGAAACTTCATGAGAATTTCCCTGGGAAATAGGGGATAACAAAATTGGAAATGGGGGTAGTGGGGGGGTGAGATGCGCAGTATCGGGTGCGCATTACCAGCCAATCAGGTGAGGTGTGTATGGCTAGCTCAACCAATCAGAAGCGGCGGCAACAGCACAGGTTTAGGCGCCAAAATACAAGCGGCCATGTTGTTGTGAGAGAAGTGGTGGTGTGGCGCGCTACTCTCCCACTCTTCTCCCATTTTAAGTGCTTAAATAGTGACACACTGAGCCCCCAGTGATAGTGAATCATAACTAATATGATAGTGACTTTACCCCGTCGGAAATAATGTCTCAGAGCAGCGCCCACAGGTGAGTAGAGGGTGAAATGTGTTGACGTGGGGCCATCAGCTGAGAGGTATCAGTCGCCACCTCTGCCTAATATGGGGTAGTTATTATTTTGTTATATCCTGCAGGGTTTAGCTCCCCATATACACCAACCTACACTCAGGGGTGTATACAGTGTTATATAATACGTGTGTATGATATTAACGGGGTTATTTTCACGTTAATAGACGTGATTTAACAGTAACCACATCCTTATCACAAAAACACTCAGATAAATAGATAACATTTACAATTACTAACACACGTAGCGACGTTTCGCTCACAACCTCCATCAAGCCAATACATGCCTTATTACATCACATATTTTTGGTAATTCTACCAATATTAATGTAATAATACTGCCACTCTTGAATATAAACTTTACTATTTCTTCGTCTTGTACCATTTATGGCTGGGTATGTTTTGAATTATTATTGTTATTACTGGCTTTGAAAGTTGAGTAATTTTCCCAATCTTATATAACAACAAAAGTAACTTGGCTAAAATTAAGATATATTGTCTTTGGATATGGGTATTATGGCTGCATTGGCGGCCTATTGAGAGGTTTTTGTGAAAGAACTAAAGTCAGTATAAATGGTCGGGAAGACTAATCATCCAAAGAAGTTTGTATAAATAACATTACTTTGCTTTATTATGACTATAGTATGAACTATGAGCAGTTTATATGTTAAGTAAAAGGACACAAGCGTGTCCTTTTACTTAACATATTGTTGGCAATTTTACCAACATTATTACAATGTGAGCATAAGAATTAAGAGAATGTACCCTAAGTCTATTGGCCCATTCATGCCAGGCCTTGTTTACACCCATGCTGTCCTATTTATGCATTTTTCTAATGTATTTTTGTTTTAAAGACTGAGCCTCAGAGGTGTTGACATCCTTACAACACATCAGGTAGACTTCTACTTCCAGGTAGAAGACACTCAGTGTTTCATGATGTTACCTTTGATATACCTTTGTTGAGTTTTGAGAATTGAGACAGCATTCTCTTCGGATTTCTAGACCCAGAGGGTTATTCATCCGGGTTCCAGTAAAGTCAGTGTGTCATTCAGGACGATCTGTCTTATTTCCATTGGGGCCCTTTAATCTTGTCACTCAGGATATTACCCACAGCAGTCAGCTAACATCCAGGTTTTCCTACTCTCAAATCCTGGTCCTGGATCAGGTTTGTTAGTGTTTGCCTGGTCAACCCCAATGGAAACAAGTCACTCTGAATTTTGTTTTTTTTTGACAGGCAGGGAGTTATCCTAGGTAATTTACACTATGATAATTGTACTTATTTTTTTTTTTCAACAAGTTGGCCGTCTCCCACCGAGGCAGGGTGACCCAAAAAAGAAAGAAAATCCCCAAAAAGAAAATGCTTTCATCATCATTCAACACTTTCACCACACTCACACATAATCATTGTTTTTGCAGAGGTGCTCAGAATACAACAGTTTAGAAGCATATACGTATAAAGATACACAACATATCCCTCCAAACTGTACATAAATAAACTTACTGCTGCTGGTGCCCCCCTCTCCCTGCTGGTGCTCCCCCTCCCTGCTGGCCCATGTATCCTTCACAGCCTGGTTGATCAGCATTTGGCAGAGGAAAGTGTCAAATTTCCTCTTAAAGGCTTCTATACTTATTCTAGGAGTGTTTCTGATATCTTCTGCCAAGATGTTAAAAAATCTGGGATTGTTCATGTTAATACAGTGTTAGTATTGTGCCTACAGTGCCTCTGGCTTTTACAGGGTTTATTTTACATTCTCTCATATCTCTTGCTGGCCATGGCTGGGCTGTGGGAGTAGAAAGACTTGGATGCATCAAACAGTATGTGCAGCATGCAGAATGACAGTGTGAAGATTTGGGACAAGGCCCTACAGTACTTTCCATGTATCTGTTATCCTGTATCTCTCTCTCATTTTGCTACTTGGCATGAAAATAATATTAGTTACTATACCATTATCAGTCAGGCTCCAGGGAATCTTGCTCATCTGGCACTTGGTAAATACTGCACATTCTGCAGACCACACTGGAACCAAGCATTGCAAAGAAATTTTGCAGGGATGGTAACCTTAGACTCATAAATCACAGAATGGGTGGGGCTCAGATCTGTGGCAGACAAGTTTTAGCATTCGGCTGTCATGTGATTTGTTTGCTTTAGTGTTATTAGACTTAAAAAAAATATTTAACTCAGTAAATCATGAAATATTCTTTGGAATGGTTTCCAGATCTGGTTCTGGTCTTGCATAAACAACAATGAGCTATTAAAGCCGAGAAAACTAAATCGGAATCTTTGCCAATAACACATGGAGTATCGCAAGGAAGTATCTTGTCCCCCAATTTTTCTTCTATGTATGAAGTACGATATACCCACTGATGTTGAATGCAAACCCTTACTGTATGCAGATGAAAATGCCCTATTAGTGTTTGGTAAAGATAGAATATATAGTTAAAAATGTTATCTAACTTGGACTCTAGTAATAGTACAATAGATACAAATATTTAGGGGTGTCCTGTAAACTCGAATTTCCAAGTCACTGAAATCTTAAGAGTTGTCCAGGAGGCAGACATTTTGACTTGGTAAAATATAAACATGAGCTATTGAACATAATTTAGGCTTAGTTTTGGTTGGGTTACATTGTATGTATGTATTAGGTTAGTGCTTACAGATAATTTTGCGATATGTATTTATATTTTCCTGTAGGAAAATATTGAAGAATTCTGACCAATTAGTAACTTGGGAATGTTGGTGAGATCACTGGTATTCATCCTTTGATGACTGCTTATCAGAAAAAATGATTGAGAATCCAGTCATAAACAAGCAGATGCCAGAATACCTTTATTGGCAGGTACAAATACTAAGTCGGGATCTTATAGGAATTCATATAGACCTGCATGATCATCATAGTACAGTGCAGTACTCTGCTGACAAAAAAAAATGGAAAACAAATTATAAATTGTCCAATCACGTTTAAAGAATTGCCAATAACCTGTCAAGATTATGTTGCCTCAATTTTTGAGTGGGTTATGTATCTAAATCAACATGAAAATTTACTTAGGGAAGTGAATAAAAAATCTTTGTGATGCCTATAATCAAAACCACAGTAAACACACACGGGTCATACAGCGTATGACCTTGTGGGTTTAGTACTTAGCTTTGATTGTAATAATAATAATAATAATCTAAAACTATCAACTTATCAAAGGTCAACATTTAAAGCCAGTAGTGACATTGACCAGCTCAAGCCTAAACTTAAGGAGAGAGTTTTGTATGTACTAATACTGTAATACTGTACCATGAGTTGGTAGTGCAGTGATGAAGCTGCCAAACTGGAAATTTGTGTTCCAGGCTTTATAATAGGGTCCCCAAGTTGCACAGATTTTCAGTAAGTTTCAGTAAATTTCCTCACGAGAGACTTCCAATATACGTATAGTGAGTTACTGAAAAAAGATGTCTACAATGTATATTAAGTTGAAATTGTAATATGCAACTGTTGTTTGTTGTCCATGCCTGTCAAGCATATTGATCAGATAGAAATAAGGCCCAAAAATAAGCTGCAAAATGAATCCTAAAGCAGACAAATGAGCTATGATGAAAGGCTGAAAACACCAAAGATGCTCGTGCTGGCTGAGAGCGTGTAAAGGCGATATATTGTAGAACAACATAAGAGGTTAAAAAAGATTTTGAAAGAATGAATGTTAATGTAGAAGATCCCAGTAGTTCATTGTAAGTCGATTGTTCAGTACTCGGAGCCTATTTTCCCCACAAGAAATAATGTAAAATGAATTGACGTGTTCCTGAGCCCTAATTTTCTGTAATTAATATCAATTAATATTTTTCCCACAAGAGTTTTACCCATTCTTTTAACTTCATTGTTTTTTTAAACTGCGTATAATTCACCTCAAAGGCAGTAGATTTTCTTTTTTTGTGGCTCTTGGCTATCACTAGTACTGTTAAACTTTCTGATCAAGATGCACAGCTGTTATCCAAGGTACAGACTACAGTGAAGATGTGGGGATGAGAGTATTTAAAGCATAGGCAGAATGTTTACCAGGAAATGTCATAAAACTAATAAAAACATTACTCAGACAAGCACTAGCACTAGCACTAGCTTGTGGCTGGGGACTACTTACACTTTGCCAGTGTAAGTAGTCCCCACTATCAAAAGTGGAAGTCACTTGTTCGTAAGAAATTAATTGGGTCCAAAATGTCAGTGTCATAAATGTGAAGCCTTCTAGGTTGGGGCATACTGTACTGTACTGTACCTTCAACAGAGATAAAGGAACCACAGATGTAAATTAGGAAAAAGTAGAGGAGAAGGGATACTATGAAATTTTTCTTTACAATTAGAGTGGTAGAAGAATGGAATAAAGTGAAAGAGGAGGTAGTAAGTGGGAAGTGCTAAAACCATTGGAAATGAAAATGCCGTATGATGAACATTAATGAAGATGGCACACTTCAAGCATAGCACTGCTTCTGTGGCTACAAATAGGTAATTGCATTCACATTTACAAACAGGACTTACAGGAACCACATGTGAATCTTAGCCAGCCTTATAACTAGTTTTTTTATACTGCACTGACAATTTGTTGATAAGCTAAAACATCTGGAAGATGAGGCATAAAAGTTAGGGACCCTCCAGTACTTAAGTTGAATTCATAATTTTGTATATACTACATAAATAAGTAAGCCATGTTCGATGGTGTGCTTATTATACCATACTTGAAAGATGCCTTAGACTTTAAAAAGAAAAATACAGTACTGTAAGAGATAAGATTTTGTTCAGAATTTTAACCCCAGAGAGTTAACCACTCAGGATAACCCCAAGAAAGTCAGCGCGCTATCGAGGACTGTCTGTCTTGTTTCCATCAGGGTCCTTAAATTTTGTTGTCCCCCAGGATGTGACCCACACCAGTCCGTTAACACCTAGTTACATGCCTGCTAGGTGAAAGGGGCAGAAGGTGTAAGGAAACAT